GGAGTTCTCCAGGCCTTTTTTCTGTGGCACAGCTGGGTGGATTTGACCAACGAACTTTTCATTCAGTAGCAGAGAGCAAACCACTTACGCCACCTAGAGACCTTACCTGTCCTCAAAATCAAAAACAAACCCAGAGTCACTTTGTTAATTCCAACTCACAGCAACCCTACAGGACAGAGCAGAACTGCCCCGTAGGGTTTCCAAGGCTATATATCTTTACAGAAGCAGACTGTCTCATCTTTCTCCTGCACCTGTCCTCAAGGAGTATAGAAATTAGTGGAGCAAAAAAAGAGAAATGCAAATTGTCGGGGAATAACTTCTCATGACATCTAGAGCTCACCAACAACAGATTGCATTATTGAAGGAATCAGTAGTGGTTCAAGTGAGGGGAAACAAAAAAGACGTAGGAAAACATTTTGCTCTGACAGGGCAAAAATAATATAAAGCTTTCTTCAATACAGGAAAAAAGATTTTAAATTTTCCTTTAGAATTTTAACCTATTCACTTATTATTTTTAAGTCATCTAACACAAACATACCAAATGTCATATCAAAGTTCTGACTGAAAATTATATGTTAGCTGAAAGCTATAATTAAAAAGATCATTAACTACCATGAAAACAGGAGGTATAAAATCACATTAAAGCATAATAATATACACATGCACACATACATAGATATGTATATATATGCACATTTCCAAGATCTTAAAGCATGTTACTAACTTCCCAGCTTACTGATTCATTCTGGCAATCTATGAGAAACATCACAGGCAGATCTGAGACTATAAATAAGAAGTTACTGATTCTAGTCTTGGAACTCCCAGGTATGGGTGTAGAGAATGTATAAAAATCATTTTGCTGTGGATGGGGACAGAAGAGTTAGGCCAGAACAGTCAGTTCAGTTGACTGGTATGTATATAAAGAATGGCATTTTGAATTGCATTTCTATAGGAGCTGAACAAAGTATGGAATTCTCTATGGGATTTTACGCTCTGCCCATAGCTTTTAAAGGTGAAATGTGTCTGAGTCCTGCATGGGTTTTTGGAAGAAATATGAGGGAGAAGACTTCATACCTTCATCCACAGTAATAGCCACCATAAATATTTACTGAACACCTACCCCTTCCTCCCTCCCTCAGGGAGCTCATATTTTAGGTAGGAAGACAGGGCAAGCACAGAAGGAGGTGAAGGATCAGTTCAACAGACCACGTGCTCAATGAGAGAGAAAAGTGAGAGCTGGGCAGGTCCGATCAGGCTTCCTGAAGAAAGGGTAGGAAACAAAGGCCTTCTATTTGTTTGTTCATTCATTCACACATTCATCAAATACATTCAACAAATATTTATTTAGCACCTATCTCTGGTGGCGTAGTGCCTAAGGCATTTGACTGCTAACCAGAAGCCTGGTGGTTCAACCCCACCATCCACTCCTCAGAAGGAAGATTGGCCAATCTATTTCTGTAGGGATACCACCTCGGAAACCCAAGGAGGGGTTGCTATGAGTCAGATCTAAC